TCGGCGCAATTCGAGTCTACCCCGAAGCGGCAAAAGCGATCATTCTCGACCACTACGTCGGCGATTATCTGGCGAGTTTCAACTCCGTGGAGGAAGCAGCAAAAGTGGCAAGTGACGTGCGCTACGTTCATGGCAACGGAGGATTCAAGCTTCATAACTGGCGGTCGAACAGCAGCACGGTGCTCAACAGACTAGGCGAAGTCCAACACGATGCCGATAAGCAGCTGGCCCTGATCGAAAGTGCTAACACCGAAAGGGTGCTCGGTATGCTTTGGAGCCCATCAACCGACGAACTGAGTTTCTCTACACAGATGAGCGAAGAGGTGCAAACGCTGATACGCACAACAACGAGGCCGACGAAGAGACCGGTGCTGCGATGTGCGATGACCCTATTTGATTCGTTGGGGTTGCTTTCACCATTCAGCATCCATGGAAAGGTTCTGATCCAGGACCTTTGGCGAGAAGGTACGGATTGGGACGAACAAGTCAGTGATGAGGTCTACACGAATACATAGCCGAGATTCGAATCCCAAGATGCTACTTCCGTGGTGCTACTCACAGGACCTACCAGAATTCTGAAGTCCATGTGTTCGTTGACGCAAGCGAGGTGGCGTATTCTTGTGCGGTCTATCTGCGCACATTCAACGAAGATGGCGATTCGCAGAGTTGCCTAATCGCCGCCAAATCAAAGGTCGCCCCACTGAAACCTTGGTCCATTCCCCGGCTGGAACTACAGGCATGTGTTCGGGCGCACGGTGGCCAAAATTCATCATAGAAAACCACAAAATTCTCGTATCCAAGACCACGTACTGAAAGGATTCGAGAACAGCGCTAGCCTGGATTAAAGCTGATCCGTTTAACTATCGACAGTTCGTCTCCTATCGGGTAGGCGAGATCCTGGAACATTCAACGGCAGCTCATTGGCGCTGGGTACCGTCAAAATCCAATCCAGCGGATGAAGCGACGAAATGAGAAAGTGGCCCGTACTTCGATCACGACAGCAGCTGGTTTCAAGGACCCGACTGTCTACGGTTGCCGGAAGAAGAGTGGCCCGTATTAAGGAACCAGTGACCGCTACTACCGAAGAAATACGTGCACCACCGATCGTTCGAACCCGCAATATACTTCGATCGGTTCTCATCCTGCTGCAACGTGCAACCGCATACGCTCTTCGATTCTTGCACAACACGTCCAAAAAGGGGCAGGAATACTCCGGGCCACTGTCAAACAAAGCGCCGAACGAAGCGGGACAGGAGGTAATCGGGAAGCAAAGCTCCATCTATCAACTGATGCCAGCGCTGGATGGTAACGGATTGCTACGCGAGCGTGGTCGGATCGAGTTAGCGTGAAAGCGTGCCCTCCTGGCGTGCGACATCCGGTGATCCTCCCGAGAAAGCATCGCGTCACGGAACTCTTGGTGAGCCGATACCATCGCTATTATCGCCATGGGAACGACGAGACGGTAGTCAACGAGGTCCGGAAGCTGTACACGATTCCAAGGCTTCGTTCGGTGGTCAAGAAGTTGAAACGTGACTGCACTTTCTGCAAAATCCGTCAAGCTCGACCAACGATACCTCTGCGATGGCGCCACTTCCAGCTGTGCGTCTGGCTCACCACGAACGAGCTTTCACCAACACTGGGGTGGACTACTTCGAACCACTGCTGGTGAAGCTGGGGAGATCCAACGTCAAACGATGGATCGCACTATTCACTTGCCTGACGGTACGTGTGGTTCATCTAGAAGTCGCCTATTCCAAGGAACCGATCGAGTACTGCGGCATCAAATAAGCCAGGGACTGTCCGAAACCTTCACCAGTACCAACACCCAATGGAGATTCATACCACCGGGAGCACCACACATGGGGGGAGCCTGGGAACGCTTGGTTCTGTCAGTAAAGGCTGCGATGGCTGAAGCGTACTCCGAGGGGAAGCTTGACGATGAGGGGCTGCAGACACTGGTCATGGAGGCAGAGTATGTGGTAAACTCAAGGCCTCTGACGTATTTACCACTGGAGTCTGACGAGGCGTATTCGCTCACTCAAAACCATTTCCTGAAGCTGTGCTCAAACGGAGTAAAGCGAATCAGTGAAGTGGGTGAAGCTGCAGTTAGGGGCCAGTCTAGCGAACTAGTTTGTCGACACATCCTGGGAAAAATCTGGGACCTGATCCAGCGTCAACTGGATGAAACCTTTGATGAAACCCGCACTCTAGAACCAGGGGACCTGGTAATGGTCGCGGAGCCAGCGATGCGCAACGGATGGGAGCGAGGACGAATCGTCCGTATGATCCCGAATCCGGATGGCCGGCACGGCTGGCACAACTCGACGCGATGAACCCAGTTAACAGCCCAGTTATCGAACGCCCAATTAGCGAACAAGTACTGTGATAACAGAACATAGCTTCACTGTAGGAGGTCGGTGGGAGCCCCCGTTCAGCGGGGATGTCCCGACGGCCGAAAGAATCGATGGTGCTAAATCCTGAAATATAGATTCGCCGCCTTCAAAAAGCGCAGTACAGCTGCTTGGTCGTCTCCTAGCATGACCCATACGCTGGTGGGCAGACCGTGAAGGCACCGAAGATGGTCGAATTGTGGGCATACGCATAACACGTGCTCCACCGTTGAAGGAATATGGTACATTTCACAGGACTTCCTGAAGGGTCCTCCGCTGAAATCCCGTGAGATTTGGGCGTATCCTGTCCGGAGCCTGGAAAAAATTCTCTGGTCTCGCAGGTTCGCAAGGTCCGTCCACTTTCCGATGTCGCCTTTGATCTTTCTGAAGAACCTGGAAGCCTGGCACGGGACCATTCCGTTGCCCACGCTGTCCGCACTGTGCAAGCGATCCATCTCTTCACGTCCATGTGTAGGTAGTGTTTGGTGGCACAACCTTCAGGATGCCCCGGATCGAGACCTCCGACGAAAGACTGTGGGAGTCCGACAGGATCGGGATTGGACGATCCGCAGGAACCGCATGGAGAATAGCCGCTGCTTCTGCCGAAATTTGTGTTGGCAGACTTCTACTCGTTGGGGAAATATCACCAGCGATTCCCATTCCGACTCCAGCTCTCGATCTTAACCCGTCCGTGTAGCGATGCATGTAGTTGGGGTAACCCGGATTGTAGAACTATCCCACAAATGGTTTGGATGATACCCCGAACACATCTTTAAGCTCTTTCTTATGGTTATTTTTATTAGGACGGTCAGCTCTGCTACCGATCTCCCAAGGGCTACGGAATTGTCCCCGGCTCTGAACTTCTCCTTTATCCGGCTGTCGTTGTTGTAAAACTTGTAATCCCCCTTCCCTGCCAACACCATCATCGGGCAGGGGAGATCCTTACGCCAAGAATTGTCTTCAAATTTTGCTCAGAATTACAGGGGGTAGGCAGGTGTCAAAATTCAAATGATCATAACTTTTCGAAGAAGGGTTCAAATTTTATGGTTCCAATTTCATTCAACAGGAAATTTATCGAAGTTTGAATAAATCATTGGAAAGCTACCAGTAGTTCCATTCAGCCTAAGAACTAGTACTTGTAGTAGTAGTGCCGTTCATCCTAAATAAAAGAACGATTATGTTGTCTTTGTTTCGCCCTTACTGTGATGAGGGGAGACAAAGGGTTGAAGTAACTAACAATCTGGGGCCGTTGATCTTCTTACTTTACTTCAATGGCGTGAATTTAGTAATCGAAGGTCCACGACTACCGTATGCAGCTGATCTCAAAATCTACTCACGGATCTGCTCGATCGATCATTGTCAATTCCTCCAACGTCAGTTTGAAGCATTTGAACCGAATAACGGTGAATCCTGCGAAGTGTTCAGTCACCATTATTGAACGTGTGAGCCATGTAAAAGATCTAGGTGTCATCCTGTATTCTCAACTTACATACAAGCAACACATCTCATACGGCGTTAGACAAGTCGTCAAGGACATTGGACTTTATCTTCAGAACAGCTAAGAATTTCTCCGACATCCATTGCCATCATTGAGTTGACTTTAATTCTAATTTTAATTACTTTTCATTCCCATCTTGGACCACTGTGCAATCATCCTTAAACCTCGCTTGAAATTCTCCTTACAAGTACCTTGGAGTGCTCCTTAGAATTCACTTTCATTTCTCCTTAGAAATCAATTAGAAAAGTTTCCTCAAAATTACTTTGCAGTTTTAGTTAGAACTCTCTTTGAATTATCTTTGGAATTGCCTTGCAATGCTCCACAGAATTCCATTGTAAATTTGCTTTGAATCCTATTCAGGATTCCCTTGGAATTCTTACCAAAACTACCTTTTTTCCGTGCTGGGTATATTCATCACTGCAACCATTAATTTGATCTATTGTGACAACAAGAGCTACTTTGAAATTCTCCTTACGTTTCACCTGGAGTCTGGAGCTTGGTCTAGGGTTCCTCAGATTTCACTTTCCTTACAAATCATCCTCTGATTTTTTCCTCTAAATTCCCATGAAATTATTCCTAGAAATCCTTGAAAATTCCTATCAAATGCATTCATTATAGTTCATAGGCTTTGAAACTTTTGCAGGGCCCTTAATTTATTTGATTTCATTAGCAATTCAAATACCCAGTAAAACCTTACTGACTGGATTAGTGTATATGGTCCCCACGTATGGGGAGCGGTTAAAAACCTATCAAAAACTGTCCACTTGGTACAAGTACAGCCGCTAAGCTTTAAGTGAAAGCATATTGGTCCCATGTGTTTATGAAAATTCATGAAACATGGGAAAACTATGCGACCACCAGCAGTAAGTAGGTATCACTTAAGCATTACATGTCTTTCAGTTGTTCCGAATTCGATCGAAATAGGAATGCGAATTCCAAATAATAGAACCTATTTTCGTCCAATGTTCCAATTAATTGGAAACTCAACCATCTACCGAACCCACATTCCAGCGTGGAACGCAAACACAAAAATAGACTCAAGACAAACAGCAGCTCACACGCCAATGGGAATCGCGCGAATATTTTTAATCGGAAAAGCAGTTACAACTTACATTTGGGTGCGGTCGATGCCACTGGATCCGATGGCCCATTAAGATAGAAATAGACCGCCTCCTCGCTGGTGCGGAACGCCTTCAGCCGGGCTTCCTTGTGTGATTTGAGCACTTTCAGTGCCTCCTCCTTATCGTTGTAGAAGCTCTTGATTGCTAAAAATAAACACCAATATCAATCACCGAACAGCAACAATAAATAATAATAATAATATTCAACAATCATCGATCTACAGAGAGGTTAGGGAAGGGAAAGGACTCTTACACAGCTCCGGTTCCTTGTAGGGAAGGTAAATTGCGTAGTACTCCATTGTTGCTGGTCGCTACTCGTCTATCTCTACCTGCTGCCGGACAGCTGAGTGATCTTCCGCTGCATCCGCAACCAGGCAACGCTCCGAGTTCTTTTCCTGCCGAACGGGTACACGTACCAACACGAACAATGAAGGAAAAATCGTAAAAATGTCAACCAGCCCCCGTCTGTCGTTGCTGTTTTTCCCACACCCAGCACACTGTTTTTCGATCGTGATTCGGCTGATAAAAATGTCAGATATTTTCGGTTTGCTTCCTTTCTGCACTTCACTTTTCAAACAATGAAAGCTGAAATTCGCGTTTTTCTTCTGCTCGATAAGTCCGTAGAATGGATGGAGACACAACAAACAAAACAACTGTTACTGACGTTGTGGATGCGCGATGTCGTGATGTGTCCGTTCGCTTTTGGGTGAAAAAAACTTCTGTTTCTTCCGTCGCGACGCAATCTCCGAATTCAGATCCGCTCACTGTGTGTTTTCGCAACGAAAGTCGGTTATTCACTAACACAAATGCAAAATGTGTTCACTGACGGGTTGGTGGAATGCATAAAATTGCATCTCGAATGCGACGCCGCTTGCACGGGTATATTTGTGTGCGTATTTGTTTACCGTTTAACCGTTTGCTCTGGCTGATGGAGTGCCACACGAAGTGGCTTGAAAATTTTTGCAATGTGACAAGTTTTCTGTACAGGAAGTGTTTGATTTTTTGGCTTCTCGAGCAAATCGACGGTGAGCGTTCATAAGGGCAAATGTTGCATCAAGCTGAAACGGAGAAAAACGAGTCTGAAATTTCGAGGGGGGTTTTCAAATCCAGGGTGTTTGGTTCCGGGTTTTACATATTTTCAGGGTATATAGGGCTCCTATAGTTATCAAAAATCCCCATGAAACATAGGGTCGGAAATGACTGCTAAGTGAGTTATTCAACATTTTATGTTTTTTTTTGTATTGCCAACTTTGGTTAGCTATATTTTTTTAATCTTAATGTGGTTTTCTGATTTCAACATGTCAAATGAAAGATTAAAGTCTTAGCTATCAATGCTCTTTAAAAAAGAACTCGATTAAAGTTAATTATCATACATTAAAATTGAAAAGTATGTTGAAAGTATCAAAAAAACTGGTGAAATTTCATGAAATTTTCATTTCTGTTTATTTAGTTGTTCTACAAAACATTTTCCATGCAGTTCCCTAGATTTGTGCCTTTGGTAGTAACCTTGTAGGTTTTATGGTTTCTTCGTAATTATTGATTTAAAACAGCCATAAAAACTTGTGACGTTTTCTTAAAATGCGCTATAGTCACCCTACTCGTTCGTACGTTCGGCTGTTGCAGTGGACTACGCACATGAAAATTTGGTAGAATGTTATTGTAAATGTTTAGCTACATTCTTAACTTTTGATTACCGCACATCTCCTGCGCCGAACGAAAACATAACTGCGGAGATGTTTCACGGTATCGAATATTGCTCAGTCTTAGCAGAAAACACAACGAGAGACTTCGAATCGGTGAATTCAACAGTTACAGGTCTTGTTCAATGATTCCACCAATATGACATTTCTTTATTTTTATTAGGAAATACAATATTCTGAGAGCGGAAGGGAGAGAAGTAGGTAGTGGTAATAAGTCGATGTCCTTTTTATTTCATAGCACTCGCAGCCCAGCTGCAGTAATATATTGCCTCTTAATACAGCGTTGCGCCTTCCCTAATAAACGTGCACCATATACTGACGATATCTTAGATGGTACGACCATACCACATAAAATTGGGATGATATCCCGAATTGGTGGTTAGGCGCATCTTATGGTTATTGTTTATGCGGGTTTACCCACGTAGATAGAACCAAAACTATATCTACACAGTTGGAATAAAATGAGCAAGCTGCTCCAAGCACTCTCCGGCATTGTTAATCGAATCCTCTTTCACTTCATGGGCGTAGGAAATTCCCGGCACTGTAGTGGCAGCTTGCACTTAGGTGGCTAAATTTTCCAAACACTTGTGACTGGTTGGCAAGTCAAGGTGATCACGCCGTCCGCTGCGAAGAAAATGTTTCTGCTCGATGACAGAGGGAAAAAATTAGACCTTTTACCACCGACGAACCGACGTGACAGCTTATAGAAGCCACATTCAAATTCTTAGCCAAGTCGCCATATTTAAAAAAAACGTTAAACACTATCGCCATCTAAACATCCGATCGTTTAATATCGTGAGCAAGGACACAAACACACGTAAAATCTATATTGACTTGGTTTGCGGCTCACCTCGTTTGACAGATCTGATCGCTGGTTTGATAGATCGAATCGCTTATTCGACAAATCGAATTGCGGACAAACGAAATGCTCCAGAGACATGTTGGTTCGTCGGTGCTTTTACCATAGAGGTAACTCTAAGACCACTGGGTCCCGAAGAAAATCATTATTATTTTTGGCTCACTCAGTACCAGAACAACGGTCCCAAGCAGTCCCAAGCTATTTCACTCACCCCTGCATGTTCTGCATGAATCCACACACCCCTGATGTTATCTGTCAAACTTTCATAGCGAATCAAAACAAACATAGTGTAGTAATAGAATTTCAACTAGAATAGGGTACGTTAATCGTTTGCTTGGGACCAATAGGCTACTAAAGTGGTGAGCCAATTTAAAATCGTTAGTTTCGTATTGATTGTTGCTTTTACTGCTGACTTGTTGCTGGTACTACCATAGAGGTAACTCTAAGACCACTGGGTCCCGAAGAAAATCATTATTATTTTTGGCTCACTCAGTACCAGAACAACGGTCCCAAGCAGTCCCAAGCTATTTCACTCACCCCTGCATGTTCTGCATGAATCCACACACCCCTGATGTTATCTGTCAAACTTTCATAGCGAATCAAAACAAACATAGTGTAGTAATAGAATTTCAACTAGAATAGGGTACGTTAATCGTTTGCTTGGGACCAATAGGCTACTAAAGTGGTGAGCCAATTTAAAATCGTTAGTTTCGTATTGATTGTTGGTACTACGGAGTCTGAAGCGAAAATCAGCAGAGTCACAACAGCAGCGCTATTTTATAACTTTTCATGTTTCAGGTTCAAGCAGAACGCTGTGCATTGCAAGTAGTACTCGATTATGACGACTGGGTTTCGGGAGAACCTCCCAACAAACAATTTTAGCTGCAGATTAGCTTATACAGCCAAAAATTGGCTTATACAGCTAATATTTGCCTGTATAAGCTAGTCTGCAGCTAAAATTGTTTGTTGGGCTTTATTTCATGAAAACAGTGATAACATTTTCACTTGTTATTTGCACATTTTTCACCAAATTTTCATGAATTTTTTTTTATTTCAACAAATTTTTTGAATTATTACCTATCGATTGGTGTATTTGGATTTAAATTTCATCTGTAAATGGCAAAGTTACAAGCGTTCAAAATCTAACACTATTTCTTCACACATTTTTTTCATTTGCATCCCAGTATATCCCACAAAGACGTAGTTTAACCATAGAAGTAACTCTAAGACCACTGGGTCCCGAAGAAAATCATTATTATTTTTGGCTCACTCAGTACCAGAACAACGGTCCCAAGCAGTCCCAAGCTATTTCACTCACCCCTGCATGTTGTGCATGAATCCACACACCCCTGATGTTATCTGTCAAACTTTCATAGCGAATCAAAACAAACATAGTGTAGTAATAGAATTTCAACTAGAATAGGGTACGTTAATCGTTTGCTTGGGACCAATAGGCTACTAAAGTGGTGAGCCAATTTAAAATCGTTAGTTTCGTATTGATTGTTGGTTTAACGGTTTAACGTCGATTTTGACGTAGGATTACGTCATTCGGTAACATATTGGGGGTGCAATTTCAAAAATTCAAAATCGACCGCATTACGAAAAGTGGTCAAGTTTTGACCACATATAACCATAGAGGTAACTCTAAGACCACTGGGTCCCGAAGAAAATCATTATTATTTTTGGCTCACTCAGTACCAGAACAACGGTCCCAAGCAGTCCCAAGCTATTTCACTCACCCCTGCATGTTGTGCATGAATCCACACACCCCTGATGTTATCTGTCAAACTTTCATAGCGAATCAAAACAAACATAGTGTAGTAATAGAATTTCAACTAGAATAGGGTACGTTTATCGTTTGCTTGGGACCAATAGGCTACTAAAGTGGTGAGCCAATTTAAAATCGTTAGTTTCGTATTGATTGTTGATATAACTCTGTCAATAGCGGAGAGATTTTAATTCTCAACAAACCAATCGATTAAAAATTTAGCTACAAATCTACTTAAATGAACACTTTATTAATTTTCAATAGGTCACTATTAAAAATTGAACAAATGTCCAACTGTTGAAGTGGCGATCAAAATTATCTCGGGTTGCCTGAAAAAGCGATTTTCCTAACACAGATTTAAAAAACGAATTCCATCTGGTCTCACTGAACGGTGCTTATTCAATCACCGTGTGTCCGGTCGGTCGTCAGTAGCTGGGTACTGCGGAGTCGACCAATTTTATTTTGCAAGCCAATGGAAAACTGCTTGAAAATTTTCTCAAGTTAAAAACTGGTTTGCTCTTTCTCAGTCGATTCCCGCCAAAAGCTTTGAGCCAGGAGTGCTCGAGCCCCCATGACTCTAACAAAGTTTGTTTACATACATGTTTCGCCAAAGTATGTTTTACTGTAATTGAAAACTCAGCTGCCTCATAAAAACTATGCTGGTTTTTATACTTTCATCACTGAGCCTGTTGGTTTTTATCTTTGAGCTTAACATTAAGAATGTGTTATGAAAAAGTATAGATCATTTTTATAAGATTAAAATGCTTGACGGTAGATAATAACAGTAACTTCATTTGCTGCTTCTGAATGTTTGGCTCCCGCTTGACATTTCACACTGGCTCCCAAGTGACAAGCACCTTGAGTGAGTCCGCAGTACTCAGGTCAGTAGAAGCCGCAGCAGTGCTTTCGGCATGTGGCGTTGAACATTTTAAACAACGAAAGGCTGCCCGCAAGCAGCGAGCTGCAGCTCACATTTTAGCGTCCATTCACCGAAGAAGGAGGAAAAAGCCTCACCGCTACTGATCGGGATCCATACTTGTGAGTCTCTGTGGGTCATCTATGCCAAGCGTGTCACCTAGGGGAAGGACAGCTCCAAGTATCAGCATAAATACCGATGGTGGAAATATTAAATATTTTAATATGTGTGGTATTTGCGAATCTTATATTTAGTCTGACAGTTGATTTTTTGACAAATTTTGGTTTTAAGTGTACATTTGACATTCGTTTAATCAAAAATGGATTTCACACGAGAGGCAAGTCATTCCTTGAAGATCTTGCTGACCACTGCTACCAATATCCGCGCCTTGTTCTCATAAATTCGGCATTCTTTGGTAGCTGATCTCAATGCGCAAAATCGAAAGGAAATCGTCATTAATTTCCACGAATTCTTCATGGTCTGCGA